TTCTTCCATAAGAAAGAACACTGTACTTCCACTAAGTCACGTGTAGAAGAGTATTTAACAATATCAGGGAAAAAATGAACGTGATAGTTAGGGGCAAGAGGGCAAATTACAGGATAATATATCCAGTAAGATCCCAATTTGGACTAAAAAACATACTCTATCAATTTGTTGATGGATAATAATACAGACAGGAGAAGAGTTCAGATCGCTACTCCAAATATTAACGGTGGTTCTCTCCAGAGCAGCCATGGGCACTATGGTTTGTGTGTTTCTAGGGTTACCGATTTTTCTTAAACATGTACTTCCTTATTAATCTGAAAAACTGCCATTAAAATAAAACATAAATGTCATAATAAGGAGACTGGCCTGGTGGGGAAAGGATGGGAATTGGAAACAGTGTGAGCTTGTGTTTGAGACGTACCAGCTGCACAAACTCAGAGCAGTCGCTCAGCCTCCCTGAACCTCAGGTTTTTCCACCTGCTAAGTGAAGACAGTAGCATTAATCTTACAGAGGCATTGAGATGCAAGAAATGAGAGAAAAACGGAGGGACCTGATAAATGGCCGACTTCGTGGTTATCATTGGAGTATTATTGTTCTTAATGGGACCAAATCTCATAAAAGATGAAAGATTATCAGCTGAAAAATGTAGAGCCTAAGTTCTAAAGAGTGAAAATGCTCCCAAGCACCTCAGTTTCCTTAACCCATCGGGCAAGATGATTGACCGTGAGTATATGTTAGGACCTCACCAGCCCACGGCTGCACAGTGAAGTCTCATTCATTTAAAATACCTTTTTTCTTTCATTGGAATATATGCATAGAGAGAGCACGTAAAATCGTAAGAACAGTTTAAGAGATAATTATAAACGCCCGCAGAGCCACCAACAAAACTAGGAAGTTGCCAGCAAACCGAAATGTCATTCCTTTGTCCTCCCCCTTGCATGAACCACTAATCTGAATTTTTTTAGAGTAATTTCTTTGCTTTTCTTTGTCGTTTCACCACCTGTATGTACAGCCTATAGTTTTGTTTTGCTAGTTTTGGATTTGCGTGCAAACTTATTCATACTACTTAGATTAGGAGCATTTTGTTTTCCGTTAAAACTATCTGCGTCCAGTTCTTCATGTTGTTGTGGAGAGGTTTCCTTGCTGGTTTTCCCTGTTACTCATTCACCTGCTGATGAGCGTCTGGCATGTCCCCAGTCCGGGGCTGTCACGAACAAGGCTGCTCTAACCATTGGCGTCCAAGCCATTCTGTGGACGCGTTTGTGAACGTGTTCTCATCGCTCTTGCGTAAATCCTCTGGGAACAGAATTACTACATCTCGTGATCTCGTGGCAAGGGAGTGTTTCTCTTTTTAAGAAAACTCCCAGATGATTTTCCAAAATGATCCTACCACTTCTCACTCTTATGAGCGACGCCGAGAGCTGAGTTCCAACTCCTCCTGGCCTCCAGCATTTGCGACTGCCAGTCTTCAGGTTTTCAGTCACTCTGGAGGAGGGCAGTGGCGTCAAGCTCTGTTTGTCACGTGCCTCTCCCTGTGCGTGTTTCCTGCGCTTTTTGGCTACTCACATATCTTCTTTTGTATGTTTTGCCCATTTTGAGATGGGGGTGTTTTGTTACTGAGTTGCAATAATTCTTTATATACTCTGGACACAAGTCCGGTGCACATTTGTGTACCTCAAAGATTTTCTCTCAGTCTGTGGTTTAGGTTTTCATTTTCCCACAAACGTCTTTGAAGAACAGATGTTTTTACATTCTAACTAAGTCCTATATATATATTTTTCCCCCAAGGACTAGTGCCGTGTACGTCCTCAGCAGGAAGGTCCCACGTGCTGCAAAGCCATGAAGACATGCTCATGCTTCCTTGTCGGGCTTTACACGTCTAGCTCTCACGTCGAGGCCTGTGGTCTGTCTTGCGTCAATTTTCACCGGTGGTGTAAGGTGGAAGCCACTAGTTCATTTTTTCTCTTTCGTTTATTCAGTTTGACAGGTTAATTTATTGAACTTATTTTTAATGCCTTTTCAGCAGTGTCTCTGAGATTCTCCTCTACACCTGCCTCGTTCAACCAGCCCGTCACTTAGCAGCACCGAGTGTGTCCCCTATTTATTTCTGGAAATTCCTCAGAGTTGCTTGGATGTGCTGCAGAGCATTCTGTGGGTGGCAGTCCTCATGGGTGTCTGCAGGCCCCTCCTGCCCCGCGGGGTGAAGGCCTCCGCCAAGGCCTTCCTTGAAGAAGCTGGGCTGTGGCACGGCTGCCGGGGCCCTGGTACGAACCCGGGGTCGAAGCCCTGGGAGCCGCCCATCCCGGGGGCCAGAGCAGGGCTGGGGGCTGCGGGGTCTTCCAGATCTAGATTCATGCCCAGGATGCCCAGCTTCTCAGGAACCATTAGCTCCCTCTCTGGTCCTCAGCCCGCTGACCACAGGGCTTCAGAGTCAGGTTGACGGACCAGAAGGAAACATGTCAGGGCCCACCTCCACAGCCTCCTCGCTCTTCAGTCCAAAACCCATCCCTTCCCCAGCAACCGGGTCTTTCTTCCCAGTGGCAAGTCTCCTCAGTTCCTAGGAGACCATTTTGTTCTCTCCTCCAAAGAAGCGTCTGTTTCCTTTGTGGAAGGTTCTCCGAATATCTGCATGTCAGCAGAAAATCTTCATCTAACCTTTCCACAACCAAAAGCCCCATTCTGGTGGTTTTTCCAGAAGAAACAGAATGCTCCTGAAGTGAACCTTCGGGGAGAGGGTCAAGCCTGCCCTTGACAACTCCGTTTTCGCTCACTGGTCCCATTCAAGTGCATCCCAGTGCCCCCTACACAGCAAGCACGGGGCGTGCACAGTCCATGGTGGAAGTTGGGGCCGCGTGGAAACGGCATACACGCTGACAATGCTATGGGCACTTGTCACAAGGGACGGACAAGGTGTCCCATAAGCAGAGGGCACCTCCCAGCCTGGAGGGTCAGGGACGATTAACACGGCTTCTCTAAACTGAAGAGCCAACGGTAACCCCGACGGGGAGGGGAGGTGTGCAAGTGTGAGAAGAAACGACGGGTATCTTCGGTGTTTTCACCATTAAACATAAAGATGGCTGCTAGTTTGAGGCCAAAAAAGAAAAAAAAATTCATGTTAAGGAGGTATCTTTCTCTATTTTACTAGAAGTTTTTAAAAATCAGGGATTGAAGTAGAATATTGACTCTGTCACTTCATATTTCACTTTACAAGGTAGAGACCCTCTTTCTCCAATGATTTAATAATAACTGGTAGTGGTCAGTGCAAGGCACAAAGAAAACAAAGTAACAGGTAAATACATGGGCAAGAAAGAGGGAGGAGTATGGTTCTGACACCAGTTCTCCGGTACCAACTGGGCGTCCTGCAATTCAGTTCTATTCTGACACTGACGCCCCAGAGTTAGTATCAGCCCCACAGCTCAGGGCAAGTCCCCCGCAAGAATGGCCCACTTCAGACACCAGCCTCGAGTCTCAGGGGCCAGCTGCACTCCTGCCAACCCGTTACAAATGTGGGGGTTCCCATGACCCCCTCAGGTTTGACAATTCCCTGGAACAAATCAAAGAAGTCACCAAAAACACTTAAATTACACTGTTTTAACAAAGGATACGCGTAACGCGAGATCTGAAGGGTCCCAGACACAGGGCTCCCCTGCCTTCTCCATGGAGACGGGGCTCATCCCACCCTGATCAGTAAGTTTGCCAACCAGGAAGCTCCGCTGATCCCCAGTGTCCAGAGTTTGTATCAGGATTCCATGATGTACATGAGCTTGAACTCAGTGTCCAGTGTCCCGCCCCTCCCAGAGATGGCTGGCCTGAAGTCCCAACCTCTGAGTCCCTCTGGGGACCAGCCCCAACCCTGAAGCCCTAGGAGCCACCAGGAGTCACCTCATTGGCTCACCTGTCACTCAGGAAATTCCCAGGGTTTTGGGAGATATCTGCCAGGAACCAATGACAAAGTTCAGACATATTCTTTGTGTATTGTAAGTATCAGTTGAAAATCACTTAAAACTGACACAAATAAATTTATTTATAAAACAGAAACAGACTCACAAACATAGAAAACAAACTTATGGTCACCAAAGGGGAAGGGGCAGAAGGAGGGATAAATTAGGAACTTGGGATTAACAAGTACATACTACTATACATAAAATAGATAAACAACAAGGTCCTACTGTACAGCACAGGGAACTATATTCAATATCTTGTAATAACCTACAATGAAAAAGAATACATATATATAATTGAATCACTATGCTGTACAACAGAAACTGAACACAGCATTGTAAATCAACAATACTTCAATTTAAAAAAAAAAGATCACTTAAAACTAATAAAAGAGTTGCCTTCAAAAAGGCCAAATATGAAATAAATTAATAAAAGTCAATGCACTCTTTATACCAAAAAGATCAATAAGAAAACAGAACAATTCCAAGGTCTTATTACAACAGCAAGAAAAGAAAATGTATACAATTTATTAGAATAAACTTAATAGAACGTTTGACACAGATTCCAGGGGAAAACAGGCAAAGTGGGGAAAAGACAGGAGCCTGAGGCTGGGTCACAGGAGACAACTCCCAAAGCAGGAAGGAGAACAGAGGGCCATGGGGCTGACGTGTAGGATGGTGACTGAAGATGTCAGGGATGTGCATCACGGTGAGATTAACTGGACTCAAAATGTCCCACATACCTCAGGTTTGAATGGGAGGGAGCAAGTTAATGCCTGAAGGTTCGATGACTAGGAGGCTTACTGGACGGCAGCACCCAGGACCTGCGGCCAGGCTGTCTTTACTTGTGGCCACTGAACAAAGGGCTGATCTGAGATTTGAGTCACGCACGGAATCCATCATCCCCATTCATATCCTGGGGCCGGAGGACAGAGAACCCAGTTGGTTACACGGCCCAAAGTGACCCACCAGGGCCAGCTGAAAACAATGAAGCAGTGAGGTATTAGAGGAGGAAACTGAAGCCTAGGGTTTACTGCTTTACACTGATCTCACTTACAGCGGCCTTATCATAGAGTTTGAATGTACTAGTATTTGTGCTTGTTTCAAAAGAAAGTTTCAATTTGGTTAGAAAATCTGGGGTGGCTTATTCATTTTATTTCTATCGCCATCTAGTGGAGAAAACTCTGAACTTCAGGCAGAAAGAGCTGAGGTTCAGGAAAAGAGAGTAACAGGGGCCCCATGTGAGCCGGCACCGTCCTCATCCCCTTTACCTTCGTGAAAGCACTTGGCTCTCACCGCTGATGGGAGGAGGGCCTCTGAGACTCGGAAGCTGAGTCTGCGAGGGTGAGAGCTTGCCCAGGGTCACACCGTGGCCAGCTCAGCCCAGATTCTGGGGTGACCCATCCAAACAGCTCGATTTTATTCATTAAATCAATAAATTAAACATATATGGAGAGTTTCGTCTTTTCTTTGTACTTTTTCCTTTTTCCATTTTTTTCTTTAGTATATATAATATATACGTATGAGCAAAGCACATGTATCAAAATAAAACGGGGATATACTATAGTTCTGTATCTTCTAATTTCTACTCCATATGTACAATGAATATTTTCCCCTTACAATAAAAACTTTTGAAAATACATATTAGGTAACAATAAAGACAGATACAGAAATACATTTATGTGTAAATACCCAGTGTAATCTTGAAATGCGTTTTAAAAGACTGGAAGAGGGTGCTGAAATACCAACAATGAGGATCTCTGAATATATTTTCCGTAATAACCGTGTATGATTTCTATAAAAACGTAAGCCTTAATTTATTTTTTTTAAAAAGACATTCAGAAACTTCACAGTTGTCTAGTTTGTTGTCATTTTACAGTATTTTGCTTGTGTTAGAGGTGACTGTATGTCCAGATACGTCTATAAATGTTCACAGCGAACGTGGTGTATTACACTTCCCGCACCGAGTCACACGCTCTTCCCAGCACCGCGTGAGGACAGCCCCGGAACCCGAAGGGGAGAGCACGTCCCACCACCCCGTCCGCGCTGGCGCAGGGCGCGCGCCGGGCTGGACGCGACCAAGGAGCGGAAGCAAGAGAAGCTCTCTGCTCTTTCTAACGTACCTAACGTGGAAAAGCCACCATAAGAACGTCGGGTTTCGTCCTCTTAACAATTGCCAGGAGGTCGGGACACACACTCACATCCGACGTCAACCGAAAACTGCTTCCTTGGCTCTTTGTTTACACCGTCTTCATCCAGTTCCAGTTCTTTGCGAGCCGTTTGTTCCTTTCTGTTAAATCGTCTCATACGAAGAGGCTCATGAAACCCCGAGTTGTTTGCTCCTGGTTACGTTTCAAGATGTTCTTGTGCAGATTAAATAAAACTCCCAGTTTCGTGAACTCTTACGAAAGTCCATCCTTTTCTAAAGTCCCTTTTCTCTCCTGCTTCTTCCTCCCCAGGTCACTTCCCTTCTCTAACCCCCAGCTGCGGGCCCGCGGGCGTCGGGCCGGCGCTCGCAGACCCCGGAGGCGGGCCGCCGCCACGAGAACCAGCCGCCCCCGGGGCTTCACCCCGCACGGCGACGCGGGCACCGGCCACGCGAGCACCGACGCGCCGGCGCGCGTCTGAGGTAAAGGCCGACCCTCTGGGGGCGGGACTTGACTGGCGTTTCTCCGCCGCCGCGGAGGCGGGCGATTCCCCCGCTCGCTCCCGTCCCGGTTCCCAGCCTGCGCGGCCCGCGTTCTTCCCACTTCCCCGCTCCGACCCCCGCCCCGCGCCCTCCGACCCCGCCCCGCGCCCCGCGCGCAGCCGGCGAGTTCCCACCGCCTCCAGTATCCCGTCCGCAGAGGACAGATCTGCGCACGCGCAAACCGCCAGCCTCTCGGACCCTCACAGAGGGGGCTCGCGGGGCGGCCGGAAGGGGGCGCGCGGCGGCCCGGTGAACGGCTACGGACTACACTTCCCGTCAGGCCGCGCGAGGTGTT